AAGTCATAAAGGGGAATCAGCACTTAACGAAAAATTCAATAAGTAACCCTCTTGTCGGAAATCTAATTTCTTCAGAAACATGACGATCGACAGAAAAAGAAACCCGATAAATGAATCTACGTTGAATGGATCTTAATTTTCTACAAGTTCTACTCAAAGTACTTATCTTCAATAAATCACAAACTTTCCTTAAATGGACGAAATGAAATCTGGAAAGTTACGTAAATCAATTGACTTACAATTTATGAAACCTTCCTAAATACTTAATATTGAATTTTTCTTTTGTGATTTGTGCATTTTTTAATTTGGAATAATTTTCACGAACCCTTTATTTGAATCCTCCGTTCCTATAATGAGTAGATTTTCGAATTTAGATTTTCTGTTCCATATATTATTAACCGTGTGTTTCTGAGACAGAAATTATCGTTTAAAAAATATGTTGATCGTTGATCAAATAATACAGTGATGACGATATGTTTTATACAGAGATATTGATGTCAGAACCCTATGATAAGTATATCAAAACTATTAAGTTAACGTTAAGTAAACTGGTTCATTAGAGTTTCTAATTCTTATATTTACATAAGCAAATTAGTCTCCCGGGCAACTTTAATATTGTCTTTTAAAATTCATATATGCAGATTGCACCGTTGCAGTAAAATTATGAAATTAGATTTTTTTATCTTACTCTGATTTAAAAAAAAAACAGTATTTACACTAAATTAAATATAACAGTTCAGTTATAAAACGACAACAGTTTAACTTTTTTTATTTATTTATACACAGAAAATATAATGTATTATATACGATATTAATTGTTTACATAACATTACCCCTTTTGTTGGCAAGTGAAAATAAACAATCGTTACAAGTGCAATGAACAAGCGCAATGTATAACGCTTATCAGTGGCGAGCCAGGCGTGTTTGCCTCAGTTGTTATGTAATTTATATTACTGATTTACATAATAAATAAAGCTATATACTTGGCATATACTACTTTAAACATACTATTGAGTTAAATCATTTGTTTATTTCAATAGTTTTACTAGTCTTTTCTTATCCTAAGTGTGCCTCCAGACTATGTTCTACATCTATGCTAAATTTCAGCAAATCCATGCAGCCGTTCCGGAAATACCTTCTAACTATCCATCCATCCAAACATTTCCATTTATAATATTCACAATCAATATTGTTTGGAAAACTTATATACAAAGTGACTTGTAATATAATTATTGCTTTCGTTTGCAATAAACAACATTAAGTAGCTACAGAGTACTTTAACAATACTCCTGATAACATCAAGTTAAAGTTTACAAAGTTCATACGTGTGATATCACGTAAGTTGAGGCCAGCACGTGCTACATTTATAGCTTTTGTTTGCTAACGTTAATTACTGCAGGTTAACTGTAGTTTAACCGTGAATCTGACTTGTTTGTATCGCAAACTATGTATATCTCTAATCTATATATGTAAAGGGATATGTTTAAATAATGTGGGTTTATATAAACCTCCTAAATTTAGTCCTCTTTCTCTTCCCACCCTTTTTCTTATAAGGAAAGGATGGAAAATGGAATTGGACTTTCCGAATGAGAGGACGCATGGAAAGGGAAAATATATTCTTTCTGTGCATCTCCTCCGTCGATTAAACAGGCAACATATATGCAATTGTGGTTGTCTATGGGTAACGGTCACTTCGCTATTTCAGCGATTTCAGGTGGCCGCTCGCTCGTTTGTCACCTTATGATAAAAAAATAAACGTCTTAGTTAATTAATCTTTTAATTACCCAATTAATTAATTATTATTTGTATTCAATATATTAATAAAGTTAAATAAATTTTATGGGCTGTCTTCCCTTATCTTAATCGAATCTAGAACTTTTAGTTATAAAATAAATTTCCTCGTTACCTTAGTCAACCTAAATTATCTAATATTTATCTCAGATCTTCTTTTAATCATATCGAAAGACACTTGAGAGGAAATCAAGCAATTTGGGTAAGTCGTAATCAATGTTTAATAAAGGAAGCTTTGATTCGACTTGAAAGTGAAGATCACTAACGAAGTCGGGATCACTTCATTTGACGGCTGTAAAGCGCTGCTCCGAATACAGCAAATAAATGAGCTGTCGATACAACACTCTGAATATCTCATCGATTTACTATTTAAGATTTGATGGAAGTAATAAAAAGCGCTTTTTCGCTTAACAACCTTAACGATAATTTACTTTATAATAAATGTTAAAATATTTAAATTCACTTCCTAATATCGTTTTCAAATCTAAAAGAAACACCCCTAAACTGTTTATTTTCTTTCGAAAAACTTTTATAAAAACACTAGCTAGTGCTAGTGTGAGATAGCTATCTCCCTTGACTCTGTCCGTACTGTATTAAAATAGATATTAGCCGATTCTCAGATCTACTGAATATGCATATAAAATTTCGTAATAATCGTTCAAGCCGTTTCGGAGCAGTATGGTAACATGAGAATTTTATGTATAAGATAATGTCATCCCTTTCATTTACTTTGAATTAATAGAGATGGCAATATGTTTCAATACAATTTGGCAGCAGAAAATTAAACTATAAATTAAGTACTTTATAATAGTTATCAAACTGCAACAATCACAATATTAGTAAAGAACAAACAGACCTCAATAAAGCGATGATACTTATCCATTGTTTGCGGAACTAGATCATGTTTGAACAGTATACGCTGAACTGAACATCTGCGTTACACAAACACTGAACAAGGGCTTTGCTGACAGCGGATACTACCGCTTTGTTCAGCTGCGCTCTAATTACAAACGTTGACTGAATAATCAGCATTGTACTGACCATTACTTAGTTAACTGCTCAAAAAACAAGTTGCATAAGTCGCAAAGCGTCAATAGCCTAATGGTTAAGGGTACGGATTTCCGACCACGAGGTCGGGACTTCGAATCCCGCTATTCGACTATTGTCGTAAACCATATCCTAGCACAAGCCTAGAGCTTCGTTGGAATGGTTAAAGAAATATTAGTAAATTTACAAAAAAATCTGCTTATATTTTAAACAAAAAAAAAAGTTTCCGTCATTTAGTAGTTTAGAAAAAAAATCTTTTTTCGATGTTTTAATACGGCACAGATAAAAATTCAATAACAAGATAATTCTAGCCCTTAACCCCGAGGTCACGAAGACCATGGACCTTCAGTGTAAAAAGTAATTTAGTAAATTACTCCAAATATATCTTACTTCTTACTATCTTACTAATAGTAATGCTAATGTTTAGATGGATGGATGTGTGATTGAAGGTATCTCCAGAACTACTGCATAGATCTAGCTGAAATTTGGCATAGATGTAGAACATAGCCTGGTAGAACATATAGGCTACTTACTACATTTTTTTTAATTACGTGCGGACGGAGTCACGATCGACATGTTTAATAGTTTTAAAAGCAAATGTACTTTGAAGTACTTTAGTTTGATGGGAAATGCATTGTTAGATGCAAAAGTCACTTTTCTCTAGGAATGCTTTCGACTGTATTTTATCTTCATTTTACATTGCCCAGGCAATATTAAACTCATACCTTTGTATTTTTTAATATTAATATCTTCTTGAACTTTGCTATTGAAAAAGAATGGTTTCATATCATAAACATAGATGGCGTTAGTTGACATCTTAATTGAATATTTCGCGATAAGTTTGATTTAGTATCAAGTCTTCGCGATTTCTATTTTAAAATATCAATAGAGTTCTTTCCGTGATGTCTGTATAAAAGCGGTCTTTGAAATAAAGAATTTCTCAAGTGAAATATCGATAAAATAGCTCATTTTAACTGTGACCTGTCGGCTTGACATTTTGATTTATATTCGCTTTACTTGCATTTCCTAACGTCTAAATGACTTTAAACTTTAATTTATCTTTGAAATTCAAAACTGTATTTTTATAGTTTGAAAAAGCTGCATTATTGTACTTATGACAATGTTCATTGTATTCCTTTCAAGACATTTTACCTAACAGTTTAAAAAATAAACGGCTTAAAATAATTAAAGCATTAAAAAATGTTTTATTTGCTTTGAGGAAAGTTTATAATTAAAATCATTTACAATATACGAGCATGGCAACAACTTTTAACAACCTTTGCCTCTAGAAAAATTAAAAATAAAGCAACAGCGAATATTCTAGTAATATCATCTCGAGGGAACATAAGCAAATACATTTTCGTTGAAATTTGTTTAAGTTCAACAACTCGTAGTCGCTGAAAAGTTACAACGAAGACTGCCGCGAGCGAGGTCGCATCAAAGAACATACGCTCAGATTTTCTGTTTGCTTCTCAAAATGATATATTTTATGAACGTCTGCGATGTAGCTTTTTTACATCTATTCTTTAAAAGATTACATATGCATTTAACGAAAAGATGTTGATGATTTTTGTACAATTACCAAACCAGTATAACATTGTGTCAATCTATTTAAACTCTCAATTTTTACATCATACCCACCTGAAAAATATCGTAAGACTTCACACGAATTACAATGCATATTTGTTTTTTTTATATCAAAAGGAGGCAAACGAGCTAGCGGCCACCTGAAATCGCTGAAATAGCGAAGTGACCGTTGACCATAGACATACGCAATTGCATATACGTTGACTTCCTTCAATTGACGAAGGACCTCTCCTTGGATGCACAGAAAGAAAATATCTTCGCTTTCCATGCATCCTCTCATCCGGAAAGTCCACTTCCACTTCCCATCCTTTCCTTAAGAAAAAGGGTGGGAAGGGAAAGTGGACTAAATTAGGCCTCCGGGACGCACACTCATCAGACGAAACGCGGAATTGCTTCCACTTGACGCCTGTCTTCTGTGTGGTCGTTGTATTTCACCGGGCGAGCCGGGCCAACTCGTGCGAAGATGTTAAAGCGGGCTCTCCCACTGTTTACTATAATAATTTAGACTAATCTTTTACTTTATTGTTCTATTTTATTACGTATTCAAGTTCAATACATTTCCTAAGCGGAAACAGTTTGGGCGGGCCCGGTGTGGACGCACACGTGCGGCATGAAGCTGGCGAGGCGGTACTTCACGCGCAGTTCCTGATCAACGAGGGCGCCCTGGTCACCGCCACCGCTGACGACCAGCTGCATCTCTGGACCTTCCGGCAGAAGTCACCTCAGCGTGTTCAATCTCTCAAGTTCCAGAGGGAACGGTACGTTATCTTTTGATTACATTTAGTTTACCATTGTGGTAAGTTTTCATAAAAAACAGAATAGTTCTTCTTTAAATATTATTGTTACTAAAAGATTTGAATCTATTAAATTATTCAAACTTTCGTGAGACATTCTACTAAATTGATATATAAACACGGCTAAACACTCACGTATATTCGTCCGGTGGCGGCACCGACTAGTTTCGAGGCCCACTCATCCTGATGAAAGGCCCCCGATGGGCTCGAAACTAGTCGGTGCCGCCACCGGACGTATATACGTGACTGTTTAGCCGTGTTTATATATCGATTTGAATCTAATCTATAGACTCAATTATAAATGACTAGTTTATCATCTTTTTTAATTCATAATCTAAGAATCTAGAATATAGTCAATACGCAATAATTAGACTATTGTTTGGATAAATTCACACTAGATTTATTAAACTTTAGATTTTTTTAATTTATTATTATCATGTCTGATAAAAAAAGATTATATTATTTGAAAAGTTTACTTGTTTTTTATATACATTTTCACAATAGGTTCCTTGTTAAATATAACTTTTTTTTATTGGATATATATTTTATACTGAATTAAAATTATGTGAATATTTAAGGGATGTTTATACATCGTATTGTAATTGGTTCATCATCATCATCATCAGCTCACTATATGTCCCACCGGTGGGCTCGGAGCCTACCCTAAGTTAGGGGTGACTAGCCATAGTCAACCACGCTGGCCAAGTACGGGTTGGTTGACATCACTCATATCTTTGAATTACTTCTCAGATATGTGCAGGTTGCATCACGATGTTTTCCTTCACCGTAAGAACGTACGGATAAATGTACATATGTAAATCGGAAACAGAAAAACACATTGGTACATGACGGGATTCGAACCCAGGACCTGCAGATTGCAAGTCAAGTGCTTGACCACTGAGCCACCGACGCTCCCTTATGTAGTTATATCTTATAATGGTTAATTAAAATGATATACAGAATACATATTTAAAATTAATATTGTTTCAATGCATCAAAATAAGTTTTATTTTACATATATTAGTAATTTAATTATCATCGTATTTTGCAAACTCGTTTTGTATTAATTCGATATTTCAATAACTAAAGCTCTCGAAAACTCAGCTTTCATTATTCGATAACATACGCTTCAATTCAATTAGGGTTGACACAATTTTAATTAATGTTTAAAATATTGACTGATGCCGATTGCAAATTTACTAAATTACTCTGCCATAAAGATTTTGACGCATTAATTTCAACAGTTTTTATTCTTTCTCACAATTACTTTTACCTAACTGTAAAGGTAATTTCACACTTACTGCATCCCTTTAAACGATTTTATTAATATTTTAAATATTATTTATTATTTAATTTATTATAATTTGATGTCAAAAGGGTTTGTTTTATTTTTTTTTCACCTATCCATCCATTGACAATGACTTTTATTACTACAACGTATATACTACTGTACTTGAAAACAAGATAATTTGAAACTATAGTAGAATTACTCTTCTTTATTATAACCCGATCCTTAATCAAGTTAAATTGTATCAAAATGGATAACTATCCATGAATTTTCACTAACATGGTAACCCTACAGCGTCGTATATCAGAATTAAATAGTCCCCTCTCTCATATTTCATCAGATTTATCGCGTTAATTATACGATTTTAAATACTATTGTCATAAAAGCGTAGCACTCTCGTAGCTTAGTACGTTCGTAGAAAAAGCTATGTATACATAATACAATGAAATGTAGCTGTAATACAGTGTAATTCGAATAAATTTAATGAATATATCCATGCCTTAACATAAAACTATAGTTTAAACATTTATTCCTTCCTGTCCCCTTATCTTTGAAATAAATGTAGAATTACAAGGTGGATCTGGTTAGCAAACAAATGTAACACATTAGCTGTCGCCCGCGACTCCGTCCGCGCGGAAATAAAGAAAACTATTGGTCGTAGCGTAATGTTACATAGCCTAAAGCCTTCCTCTATAAATAGACCATCCAACAAAAAGATAATTTTACAAATCGGACCAGTAGTTCCTAAGAATAATTCGTATAAAAGTAAATCCGTTTAATTAATCCGCAAACCATCTATCACTTTCTCGCAGCTTGTGGAGAGACGGAGAAAGAAAATCTGACGATCTAACCTAACTTCTTAAACACCTCAATTTGAATGCAAAGCACTGATTAAACAGATTGCTCGGATCCCAACTAAATGGATAACTAAGTTGTAACATTCTCGTAAGATGTTTCTAGATTTTATTTAACTTGTTCTGTTTATTAGGATAAAATTAGAAAAAAAAAATTAGAGCCATTTCCCGATGATGTTTTGAAAATTGATACACTTCTTTATCCGTTACTAGCTGTCGCCCTCGACTCTGTCCGTTCTTGACTAAGAAATATATAGTAGCCGATTCATAGACTTACAGAATATGCATATAAAATTTCATTCAGTCAAACCGTTTCGGAGATGTATAGTAACTAACATTGTGACACGAGAATTTTGTATATATATTTTTTTATATCAAAAGGTGGCAAACGAGCGAGCGGTCACCTGAAATCGATGAAATAGCGAAGTGACCGTTGCCCATAGACATACGCAGTTGCATATGCATTGCATACCTTTAATCGACGGAGGAGAGGATGCACAGAAAGATAATTCGTTTTTGTATGTACTTGTTTATATAATTTCGAATCAAAGATATAGACAGTTGAAATTGTAATAACTGGACTTCAGACTAATTCATTAAATAAAGAGCACATTGTTACGATTTAAAAAGAAACAAACGTATCATTGTGATGCTGAAAACATCAATATTTAATTGAACTTTAGTCGACGTCTCAAATTAAACTAGACGGACTAATGTTGTAAGAAATTCAATAAATCAGAGTGGAAGTAAGATCCCTTGTTACAGACTCGCTATAATAGGAATTGAGGAAAACTTTGAGATTTTGGTAGACAATATTTATTAGATTTTTCTTTTTATTTTTATTAAATTTAAATTTAGCTTGTCACAAAATCAAATTGTAATAATTAGTAACCAAAGTACCGTTTAATCAAGTGATGTAAAAGTTATTTACTTTGTTTTGCACTATGTAGAAAATCTTATTGTCATACATTTATTGCAGCGAAATTTCACGATTAGAAATTAAAATTTAACTTAAAAATAAGTCTGAAAATCATCATCAGTGGTATAATCAACATGATGATAAAAACTTATGATAACATTTTTAATATTGGTATTATTCACAACAGTTCCTTTAAAGCGGGACGTCGGAATTAATTAAAGCGGAGTAAGGGCGACGTTGTCATGGCAACCGCATCTCTGTCCCCGAACCTCGCACCTTGTTAACTAAACAAAGATAAATTTCATGCTCCCCGGCTCTTTCATGTCGCCCGATAATTACTCTACGGATACTAAAGGCGCCTTCATTAGGGCCTTTGTAGCGTCGTTGAAGCAAAGATTTGTATCTTCGTTGTAGAGGACAGCTTGTAGGGAAACAAAAACAGGACTATATTTATTAAGAGACTTTATATACTAAAATATAAAAAAATAATGTAGCATTGTACAGTACAAGACGTAAACCATGTGTAATAATTAGAGAAGCATTAAATGTATATCAAACTAGCCGTTACCGCGACTCCGTCTGTGCGGCATTGAAAAAATAGTAGCCTATGTGTTCCAGTATGTGTTCTACATCTGTACCAAATTTCAGCGAGATTCATGCAGCTGTTATGGAGATATCTTCTAACAAACATCCATCCATCCAAACATTCGTAAGATATTGACATAACATCAGCTACTGTTATGAAATATTACTTTATCCAGTAATAAAATACATACAAGAAATTAGTAAGATACAGAGGAAGAAATTTTCTAGCATTTACCGTAAGTCTACTCGAGCGATGAATTTTCTCTAGCCCTTGAGTTTCGCTGTTAGAGTCAGTTAATTCATTTCCACAGACAAATTACTTCCTCCTGGGAATTGCTCGGTGAAATATAATCGCTACCGTCGTATAATTATTTTACTGAATCTGATGTATTTATTGCTATGAATTTGTTTTAATTATTTGACGAGAAATTGTACGTTATATAAATTGAAATTAATAGCGAGCTTTAGGAAAGCTCGCGGAGCTTTCTACCTTGTCTTAATTTTTAAAATATAATTTAAATAAAAAATATATTTTAATGTATTGATTAATTAGGGATAGTTTTTATATTTCACTAGCTATCGCCTGCGACCCCGTCTCCGCGTAATTAAAAACTTATTAAGTAGCCTTTGTGTTCTTCCAGACTATGTTCTACAAATGTGTCAAATTTCAGCAAGATCCATTCAGCCGTTTCCGAGATACTTTCAAACAAACATCAATCTATCTAAACATTCGCATCTATAATATTAGTATATATTCCGTTTCATAATTTTCTAATATTAGCTAGATTCACCTCTTAGTCCATGTGATTATAGAATTTAATATATTTATCCTGTACCGTTTGAAAAATTTTGATTTAAATGTTTTTTTATTTGGTAGTGTCTGACTTAGTTTAAAATTTTTAATTACTCTTGCGGGAAAATTGTTTTTAATTACTTTATCTCGTGAGCCTGTTCTCAGGACATTAGTCTGGCAGGACGCCAGGGTAGCTTAGCCTAACATAATAACTTAGGGTCTCAGCTTTCAGCGCTTTCAATGAGATGCGATTATTTGGGTTTTGTCTTAAGTTAATTTGACTTAAAATTGTTTGTCCTTTGTATTGTCGTAATAGAATTTAAGATAAAAATTCAGATTTTTTTATACCAACGTATATAAAGTCAACCACGCTGGCCCTGTGCAGGTTGACTTCACACATATCTTTGAATTTCTTCTCAGATATATGTAGGTTGCATCACGATGTTTAATTCACCGTAAGAATGTCGGATGAATGTACATATGTCAATCAGAAATCGAAAAACACATTGGTAGATGGCGGGATACGAACCCTGGACCTGCAGATCGCAAGTCCCTTGACCCCTGAGCCACCGAAGCTATACTAAGCTGTAATTAACTGCAAAGCCATTTATCACATTTTGATCAAGCGATTGACCAAAATAATTACATACATTAATTATATCGGAAGATAATTTGATATGTTAATTCATATTGAGACTATTATAATTACATTAATGATCTGATTATGTTAGATATTTGGTACATTGAAACATGTTTCCAATTCATGTCATATGTATTGACTAGCTGTTGCCTGCGACTCCGTCCGTGCGGATTAAAAAAAACTTATTAAGTAAACTATGTGCTTCAGACTTTATTCTACATCTATGCCAAATTTCAGCGAAATTCGTTCAGTCGTTCCGAAGATAACTTCTAACGAACGTCCATCCATCTAAATATTCGCATTTATAATGTTAGTAAGATGAGACATGGATTAGGAACATGCTTCGAATGAATATTAAAAAAACAACAGTACAGAAAATAATAAAAGGTTTAATTGGAATTACAATAAAGAACTATTGCAAGTATTATTTATGTATTTAGTACTAGAAAATTTATTTTCAATCTGACTTTAAATTCATAAATATAACGAACACATTTAAAACTCTTTTAACTGTCTTACTTCTTACTAATATTATAAATGCGAATGTTTGGATGGATTGATGGATGGATGTTTGTTTATAGGTATCTCCAGAACGGCTGAACGGATTCCACTGAAATATGGCATAGATGTAGAACATAGTCTGGAAGAACACAGACGCTACTAATTAAGTTTTTTTTAATTCCGCGAGGATGGAGTCGCGGGCGACAGCTAGTTTCTTATATATAATCATGTCCTGAATAACATGCACTATAGCTTAGGTTTTCGTTTTGCACATTGTTACAGATTTGGCATTAAACTAACAAAACAGACGAATGAAATAAAAGGGTGAGTTACGTCGGTGTTAGTTTGATGTTGTCTGACGTTAGTGCACGGTAACATTACTGCATGTAAGCACAATAATCGTAGAGTTACACTGCCGCAACACTTGTAATATAGTCATCTCTGTTTTATATAAGAAGAATGAAAGAGATACAAGTGTTCCAGAGACGTGTGTGATAAATCTGTGTACACACAGAAGCATCCCTTAGGCACAATTGTAGAATGTTTTGAGAGCACTGAAATTATTTAGAATCGCTTTCAACGTTTGTGTACTATTACCCTTAAGACAATTAGACTCCTTTAGTTAATTAGAATTGCTACGTCCTGCCTGTTTGGATTTAATCACTTTATTGGTAGCAGTGATGTGCATCTGTGTTCTGTAGTCAGTTGTTGATTTTGATGTCCATAGATATGCAATATATGTATTTAAATTACGGGTTCGGAGCCTACCCTGCATTAGGTATGACTAGCCCATAGTCAACCACGCTGACCCAGTCAGGATTGACTTCAAACATATCTATAAATTTCTGCAGATATGTGCAGGTTACATCACGTTATTTCCTTCAATGTGAGAACGTCGGATAAATGTACATATGTAAATCGATAATCGAAAAACACATTGATACATGGGATTTGAACCCAGGAATTGCAGATTACAAGTCCAGTGCTTAACCACTAAACCAACGCTTTGTTGTTGTATATTGATAAAACATACGCAAATTGTTAATAAGAACTATATTAAAGTCTACAGTTTAAATAAATCTACTAAATAAGTTTTATAATTAAAATGTTTGTTGTTGTAGTTTGCAATTAGGGTTATAAAATTATTACAACATTTGTAATTGCAGTGCAACTCTGTTTAATTTAGTTGCAACTTCGTAGCATCATACATTGCTACAGTTCGTAGCAATGCTACAGTTCGTAGCAATGCTACAGCAATTTGTAGAACTTCGGTAACTCCAATTTTCAGAGCACGCAAGGATTATATTTAACACAACTTTGTGCTCATTTATACAATTAAGATATTATTGGTCATCGCTTAAATAAAAAAATATATACCTAATCATTGTAATTTTTATTTTAATAGTCGATTAAGCATTTTATTATTTTGCTATAAAAATATAAACAAACAGACGAGCTAACTTTGAGTTAAATATAAATAATTTATAATAAAGTTATATTCTAATTTGTTTTATTTATAAGCTGTATTAAGAGTAAAAAAATACGATCAGAATCTTGTACTACCGACACTCGTAAAATAAAATACAAAAGATATAACGGCAATATATTGTTGCCTTGATTTTCTTTCTCGAAAGCTCTAAAATGATAATTTTATGCCAAACGCTTGGGACTTTTTATAGTCAACGATAACATCGCGCCGTAAGGAGATACATTTTCAAAGGCCTCGAGTGTCCCGGACTTTTTTAATGTCCTGAAAAGATAACAGTCTCTTTAAGTGAACCTTTTCCACCTTCAGTAGCTTTAAAGGTTTTTTTTTTAATTTGAAATTAAATGTTAGACATTTTTTGTTTATATCAGTAACCTTGATTATTTTTTTAAATTATGTAACTTTAATTAACATAAGTAAAAATATCACTTACATTATTAAATGAATACTAGCGGTTGTCCGTGACTTCGTCGTAAAAAGGATAGCCTATAATATGCCTGCATGCATCAGCTACCTTCCAATCAAAGTCCCAACAAATTTGGACCAGCCGTTCCGTTGATTATGGAACATTTTTACTAAATATTACATACGAACAATCCAATTTTATTTACATGTACAGTTTTGTAACGTAGTTATAGTTACCTATATTTACTTGAACTAATAGCAACTTCTCCACAACTTTAACGTGTCAATGACTCTACTATCTTAATCTCTATTTGAACTAAAGTTGTCTTGTCCTCCAGGATAACATGCCTGCATCTACCGTTGCAATCAAAATGGGTGCACGTGGGCACAGAGCGCGGTAATGTACACGTCGTCAACATCGAGACGTTCGCACTTAGCGGTTACGTCATCAACTGGAACAAGGCCATCGAAGTGTGAGTATACATTTCTTACTAACTGTCGCATACTACTCCGTACAGGCGGAATTAAAAAACTTAATTAGTAAGTGTTCTTCCAGACTATGTTCTACAGCTATGCCAAATTTCAGAGACATCCATGCATCCGTTTTTGAGATATCATCTAACAAACATCCTTCCATCCAAAGTAACAAATTAAGGGATCTTGTCTCTGGTTTTATCGTTATTATTAATTCTTAGCTCCGCTCTTGGCTCACAGATGTTGATGTTTTATTCAACAGCTAATGCTTGTCATATGTTTTTTTAAATTAAAAACTAACAAGTAGTTTTTGAGTTTCCAATATTGTACACAAGACTTACGGTCTCCGAAATTAATAGTTCCTAGCTTGTTTACGACACCTATCAAGCGTTGAAAAACTTTACTTACTTTCCTTACAACTTGTCTTTACTATCGAATCATTCTTTTCGCAAAAAAGAGCTCTGTTATTATACATTTATTAAAATTTAAAAAGGCTGTAAAAATAATGCTTTGTAGTTCTAATATCCTACGCATTCTGGATAATATTCATGTTTTTAATAACCTGTACACATTGTCTCCGTAACAGTATTTATGGTTGTAATCGAAGGTCGCAATTTTTATTTACGATGTTTGCTTTAATAAATTGCTCGATAAATCATTCGTATGTGAAATTAATTGGTGTTACGAAAGTTATAGGCCATCATTTACATGATAGAATGCAATTCATAACATATTTGATAAACATTATTAAATGTGGCAAATAATTTTTAATTAAGCAATTAGGCATCAACTAATCAAAAAATCAACTTATAGCTAATGACCCAATTTGGCCCATAAGTCAAGTGATTGTCTATAATAATATTATAAGGCGGAAGAGTTTGTTTGTGTAAACGCGCTAATCTCAGGAACTACTGGTCCGGTTTGAAAAAATCTTTTTTTGTTCGATAGTCCATTTATAGAAGAAGGCTTTAGGCTATATAACATTACGCTGCGACCGATAGTTTTTTTTAATTCCGCGCGGACGAAATCGGGGGCGACAGATAGTCTTTTATATAATAATATGTAGCACAAAAAAGATAAAGAAATGAGTGCTAAAATTGTGATAGGCCCCACAGTTAGATTTTATATCGATGCCAGTATATGTCCTAGTGAATAATATTAATATATCTTAAGTAAGAGTTTACTATTTTAGCTTGAATTTAATTCATCAAGCCGTTGCAATCTAAGGGTACAAATTGGACACTTTGTCCTGGCTTATGTTGTTAAGTCGCAGAATGGCCACTACCGTGCGCCATCTCGCGTCAATCACGGGCATTAATTGCGGGCCGAGTACAGCAAACTCGTGCAAATTGTTGTAGCTGGCAAAATAGTTATATGTAGCTGTGAATGTATAGACAGATTAATAAGAAACTAGCCGTGTGTGACCTCTATTAGCAATGTATGTACCATTTTTTTATTTTACAAGATGTCAAACAACCGAGCAATCAAAATACGCCTAAATAGCGGAGCGAGCTGCCAAAAGACATCCTCAATTGCAGTGTTACCTACCTTTAATCGACGAAGTACACACAGAAAGAGTTTATATCCCCTTCCTTTGTGTACCTTCCCCTGTCAAATACACTCCTCCTTTCCGTTCCTTCTCTATTAGAAAAGAATAGGAAGCGAAAGGGGACAAAATTTCAAAAGACCCTTCCAAAAGCGAGCTTGTTTCTCAAAGACTGGCAAACATCTGTTTCTCTGGTGTTGCATATGTTCATGGGCGTCGATGATCACCTCTGTGTTTCCGTCGCTCTTTTGCCCCTTTAAAAAAAAGATCATCCCCTGAGTCATTCGAGTGAAACGGCTACATTCGTATCCAACTGACAAGTGTGATTGAGGCAGATATAGGGTACATTCAGGGAGAGATTTCCAATCGGAAATACACTTCGCTGCGTCGCTATTTCAATTTAAAATACTGCAGCTCGGTCAGCGGCGCTCGCTTGACGACGCCATATTTCCAACGTATTTCCGATTGAAATCAATTTTCAACTACAATAAACTTAATATTTAAGCTATTAAATTGTTTTGTTTTTTAATTCTTAATGATAAAAACAATGATACTATGCTTTTTTGTTTTTGTTTTGTAAGAAAATACATTCATGTAAATACCTTAACTCTTGCATTTGTTTTATCTAGGATTTTATTTTCTGAAGACCCTACTCTTGATATAATAAAGAAGTAAGGAGGTGTTAACGACTTAAGAGGTACTAGAACTAGAAGCTCTTATTTAAGTAGCTCTTACTACTTTTTAAAGACGAGTTTATTTCCTAAGTGCAGAAGAAATGCAAGATTTTATATCTTGCATCTTAACTACATTATATGCTTGAAACTGACTCTGAGTACGGTTTTAGTACGATCATTTAAGAATTTAACGTACCTAACTCTACATTTTTATAGACGCTGTTTACTTTAAATATATTTACAGTTTTAAATTCAACAATTCATAGTTGAATCATGTAACTTTTAAAGCAATTTACTTTAAATTTCTCGAGTGGATTTGGTCAATAAGAGAATTTTAACTAACAATTACCTATCAAAAGTCCCTCCTACAAATTGTGATTTTAGTTTAATCAAGGAGACTGAGGAATTATAATATAGGTATATACAGTCCTAACTGGAAAGGCGAGAATGAAAGGGACTGCGATATGTTTCTCGCTTATAGAGATTTCTCGCTTATGGAGGTCATCCGTCGGACCATGACTCGCTTCTAGAGGTTTCTCACTTATCCAGTTTCGACTATATTTGTAAAACTGTTTTAATAACGCAAAAAACGCAATAAACACCCGCATTTTTATGAACAAAAGGCTATTTACAATAGTACATGCAAAACACAAAATTGCATATGAAAATTACAGTAGCTCATGACGGAAAACCTTTTTTATCTGTGATACGAAATGGCCATTACACGGGATCTCATGTGAGCTTTAAAATTCGTTACGGGTCGTGTGGGACGGATCTAACGCCTGCAGCTTTCAATCGTGTGCTATATTACGGTATAATGCATCTTACTTTCGTATACACTAGTTGTCGCCCCCAATTCCGTCCGTTCGGAATTTAAAAAAAAACTGAATAAGTAGCCTATGTGAGTACATAGGCTACTTATTCAGTTTTTTTTGGAAGAGTTTCCAGACTATGCTCTACATCTGTGCTAAATTTCATCAAGATCCGTTGAGCCGCTCTGAAGATACCTTCAAATATCCATCCATGTAAACATTCGCATTTATAATATTAGTAAGAAAATATTAATAAGTAAGACTAATTTCTTGATTCCAATTCGATTTGTGACCCATTCGTAGATACGAATAATTAAAGAATTTATCTTACAGTTTTAAGAGAAAATTACGAAATATTTTTCCATTAATTAAGAAAATTTACTGTATGTCTAACTTCTCTGTTGAATTGGATTCATTAGGCGACATTTCGAATGAGCAATGTTCGCATTGTAGCCGCATGTAGGACAGTCTCTAGCGGGGACAGGGGAGTGAAAGGGTAGGGGAGAATGCTCGGAAATAGATCACTCAGTCGTCCCGTTCCAATTTAAAATATCGTGATGTGGTCAACCCCTTTCAACCTTTAGGGGAGATTTATTATTTTAGTATTCATATCCTATACAACCCTACCTTTTAACGTATTTAAAAATATAAACTATCTCCATATAGCATAGATATATGACACTAGCTGTCGCCCCCGACTCCGTCCTAAAACTTAGTAGCCTATGTTGTTCCTGACTATGTTCTGCATCCATGCCAAAGTTCATCGAGATCCTTTTAGCCGTTCTGGAGATACCAGATCCATCCATCCATCGATCTAAACCTTCGCATTAATACACAATACGGCCATGTCTAGTTAGTAAGTAATTTAATCGATTTCGTCTGCAAGCACCCTTTGATAAGTCAATACCAATGGTTTGTAATTAACATGTTCTCGATACTAGATACTAGAGAGTCAAAGTAAGTTCAAATTGGCAGGTTGCTAGGACGTTTGCGAACAAAGTTAACTCCAATATTCAGCTCCGATACGAGTCAAAATATCGCTTCAGTTACCTAAGGTAACTTGTAACTTTGTTAATATACTAGCTATCGCCCGCTACTTCGTCCGCGTAAAATTAAATGAAAAAATGTGTATTAGTCTACATAGACTATGTTCGATATGTATACCAGATCTCATCAAGATCCGTTCAACCGTTTTGGATTTACCTTCAAACAAACATCCATCCACCCATCCATCCATCCAAACATTCGTATTAATAATAATAGTAAAATTATCTAAAAGTCATTAAGTAATTAGGAATATTTTATCATAGCAATATCACATAAAAATCTGTCTCAAACAAACGAGTACTACAGCAATGTCTAAATTCTAAATTCAAATTCCATCTCATAATTTTCTTCTCTTCTTTTATACCTCTTTCTTTTTCTCTCACAATTTCTCCACTCTCTCTTTCTTTCTAATAATAATTGGGATCCTAATATCGTGATGTAACTACATATGAACGCTAGATTTCTTTGTTGCCTTGAATTTAAAACATTATTTTATAGGCTTATGAGAAACGTTTTTGGCAGAGTAACTTGGCCATTATCCTGCAGTATATGATATCACGTTTAGATATAACAAAAGGGATATCATGTATTTTCATTTGTATATCTTCAAAAAAGCAAAGAATTGTCCTCCAGGGAGAGAGATAAAGCGGCCAGCGAAGGTTGCGAGGTTGTTGCTCCAAACGCGTTTTATCTTTTATGGTTACAAAGACTTCAGATCTCTCCCCAGTCGCTTTGTCTCTTGATTTATATGTCACACTTCCTTTTTTTTCTTCATTTAGTGTAACATTTTAATCTCTAACATAAGTGAATTCGCAAAGCCAGTGGTATCACAACTCTTACTTAAAAAGCCTGCAATTAAATTTATAAATTAATTTGGTTTCTTAGTTTGATACTTTATACTTTATGGGGAAATAAAGCAT